AATATTAGACAGCAAAGAATCTAACCTTCACTGTGATGTTGGGGTTTTTTTGGTTTGGGGGTTTTTTTTTGCATCCTATCTTTGTATTCTCTGTTCGGTAAGGATGATGATGAACAACTTAATTAATTTATCACACGGCCCGGAGAATTACTGTCTGTTCTCTGAGAAAAGTGCATTATGGCCATATTGTGTTCTCTCCCTTGCGTGGGAGCTCCACCTGACGCAGTGTGCTGTTCATGCTGCGTGAGGCTCTCTAAACCTCAGGATAAGCTAATAACCCTCAGTGAAATGCTAATTTTTTACAAAATTGATTTTCCATCAAAACTCTAGACCTCTTCACTTATTATAATGTTTACATCAAGTTTTAACAGGTGAAACATGCTTCATCACAGAAAACAAAAATGACTCAGAATAAAGTAACGGGATGAAGGAGAAAGGTCCTGTTTCATTAGATTGTCCACGGCACTACACTAAGTCTTAATTCCATATTCAGTCTTGTAAACACAATATAACAACATGTATACTGGATGTAAAGTTTAAACTCTTATTAATTTTAGTGGCTCTGGCCAAACCAATCAATTTCTGTTATGTGAAGCCAGCCCTAATGCTGACATTTAAAGTCATTTTCACAGTTGACCACGGAAGAACATTCACAGTTATTTAATACACGGTCATGTAGCTGGTAATCCAGTCTATATTGATTGTATGAACTGAGCCCAACATCCTAGATAGTCATTACATTAAAATATATAGGAATAACAGTGATTTAGAAGATAGAGTCAAAGTCTTTAAAGAGCTGTACACTCTATTACTTTTATCAGGAGGTAGAAAGGATACTTTTCCTTAGGAGACCATGTGTAAAGTCTAAAGTTAATTATATTTACTTTCCTGTCTTTTTATCAGATCTTCAAAGAAATATCTCTTTCAAAAATTTGATTTAATTCATATTTATGCATGACACTAAACTAGGTGCAGGGTAGTTATAAAAAGGAGTAAGACGGGATCATACCTGTGTCCAACAAGTTTGCTATATAGTGTGGGAGACATGAATTTGACTAACTAATACACTTCGGTCTGTAATGTTTGGAGAGCCAAACTAGACCAGGCAAAAGGATCCAGTACCTGAGCATATATGTGCTCGTTATTATGTCCTAATGTCAGGATTCCAGATACCTTAAGAAAATGGCAGACGACCTACACAGCCTTCCTATTTGGGCCAACAAGGAGATGGGGCAAAGAGCCTGTCTTGTCCACATTTTTCTAAGAAAATGACTTGATCAT